TAATCAGCAACCTTTAATGGCTTCAACTGAAGTGGTCAAACAGCATGGTATACAGCCAGGAAGTGCAATACACTATAGCATCAAATTGTCCCCATCACACAATGGGATGTAATAGTAAGCTGCCATATGGACAGCATGCCAGGCAGGATTAAAGTAGTTTCCTCCTTGTTGTATTTCAGATATCACTCATCTACATATGTAAAAATGCCTATACCTGGCATTAATCTATTGCAATGGCATTGGAAAGTATGGACCAGCCATGTTTAATAACTTGTGCCATATGACCTCTTCGTGGTGCTACTGCAGTAACATTAGCACACATCTCTTTGGAACGGCAGCCAAATCAACAAAAAGTGATGAAGCGTGGACATGACTTCACCCACAGACGTTAGTTGGCATCCAAAAGTTGACTAGAAGTGGAATGTTTTCAGAAAATATGATTCAAACAGTCATCACATTTAGTTCCTGCATTTTATTGCAATGATGCTGAATGTTTGTGCAGTTGTTTCCATTGTAAATCTCATTTTTGAACATTGCATAACTCTAATAAATGCTTTCTCCAGCCTAACACATGGCACACAGTGAATTTACATGAAGACCCTATTATTATTTATACCTCATTTCAATTAAATCACTCTTTCAGTGGAAAATATTAGCATTTTAATTTTTTCAACAATGCTCAGTATATTTTTGCAATTAATTGGACAAGTGTGCATGTATGTAATGCATGTGTCTATAAACAATCAAAGCAATAATAGGGGGTTGTGTTGTTGTGACTGGAAACTCAACAGTCAGGTTTGGCAAGGCTACTGTTATATTTGAAAAATATCCTTCTATTAGAGCTCTCTACTGATTTCCACTGGAGCTCTGCATATATAACACAAGAATATTTTTAAATGATTTTGATCAATTGAACAAATTCTCTGTTTATCTTGATAGTCTCTATTCTATTTGTGGCTAGATTAAAATGTCATTATGAAATTGATCAGAGAGCCACGAGAATATTGATATTATCTATTTGTAGCCAATATTTGGTACTAAGTGGGTTGTTGCAACTGAGAGTACATGGTAAATGATGGTTGTAGTTTTTGTGCATCACTCCCTCTGTAAAGGGACATGTGGATATATGCCTACACATAGGCACCACAGAATGTTTGAGGGAACAGAAGAGAGGCAAAATACAGAACTGGAACAAAAGGCTACCTACTAAGCCCACAAATCAATGTGGCTGGAGGCTTGGCATGTTTACAGACCTCATGTTCCCAGGGACTCTAGGAACAAGGTAATGTGTAAGCACATGAGCCCTCAGCAAGCAAGAAATGGGAGTAAGTCGTTTGCCTGGACTTGGTGGGGGACTGGAAAGAGAAACTGGTCTGCAAGGATTAGGCTTCCAAATCCGGCTTAATTTCTCCCCCCTGGCTTTCCAAACACACACACACACACACTTATCTCTTAAGCAATAACAACATCATAAGTGCAACGATGCCACCACTTTATAACAACGCTACCACTTTGTAAAGATGACACCAGAAGCAGTAGGGCCATCACTGATTTATCAGGGTCTCCTACTATTAGTAATGGATTTATAAAATTGATAACACAGCTAATAACTTGTAATATTGTGTTGGGCTTTCTTTAATGTGTAGCACGGCTTGACTTGAAAGTATTTGTAACAGAGATTTGGCTTTAAGAGAAACTGTAACAAGTTTATTGAAGTATAGAAGAAGCTTAATGGTTTCAATGTTTCTTAACTCCTATTTTAAATACTTACCCTTTTAAACACCTATCTATACATAACTATAGGTTAAAATTCACACTTCATCACAATATGCTATATAGAACACTATCCATGATTCATAAAAGAGTTATACATTCATTGGTCAACCAAAAAGGCCCAAAATACATAATACAAGCATTGCTGGTTTTTTCATCAAGGAGAGATGTTAAACATCATACAAGAGAAAAATGTAACAATGATAGAGTCAAAAGTCTGTATTTTGTCTCATATGTTACTTCTGTTATCAGTTAAGACATTTTGGAGTGCTCCCGATGCAGGTAGAAATGGCTCCCCTTCCTGGCCATGTAAAGACTGGCAATAAAAGAAAGGTAATAAAAGTTCAAATCCACTAGCAACAGAAACGTAACTGTGTAATGCGCACATTTTTCAGCGCTAATGATTGATCTCTTCAGTGGAGGAGGCTCTCCTTTCACTTATGAAATAACCTTCTGCCAACCTAGCAGTTCAAAAACATGCAAATGTGAGTAGATCAGTAGGTACCACTCCGACAGGAAAGTAATGGTGCTCCATGAAGTCATGCTGGCTACATGACCTTGGAGGTGTCTATGGCCAGCACTGGCTCTTCAGTTTAGAAATGGAGATGAGCACCAACCCCCAGAGTTGGACACGACTGGACTTAATGTCGGGGAAAACCTTTACTTCAGATCGGACTCTGAGGCACACACCTTCTCCCCTGGCCAGTTATTTTTAGTAGGTGAGATGAACATATATAGACCTCACCATGTAATAATATATTTATCCCCCCCCCTCCACTTTTATGGCTTTTGTTAAATTGATGCAAATGTGGAGTGGAAGTAGTTGCTGAGTTTAACTGGATAATATTCCTCACTTCTTGTTCTGAACTGGAGATTTGATAGTGGAGAAAGCTGGGAGATACGCAACCAGTGTTATTTAGCAAGACAAGAGCCTACTAAATGGCTTCATCGCATAATCGTGGCATGCTACTTTATGAGGCAGGGCTGGAAGAGTTAAAGTGTACAGCCCTCTTTGAGCCTGCCAGCTCTACATCTTGTAAGGAGATGAATATTAAGAAGATTTCTTTCTTTGCCTTGTCCCTTTTCACCTCATCCCACTGAGCTATCATCAACACGAGGGAGAGGACTAGGGTCCTCAAGATTATTTTGGCCTGTAACTGCCACCAGCCTTAACCACCTTAGTCAATGGTGAAGGACTGTGGGAGCTGGAGCCCAAAAACCCAATTTTCCATCTATCAGAAAGATCTGGATTATCTCTGCAGAATCTCAGCCCCCAAACCTATCTGCTATACTTCCTGGATATTTTATTACATGAAGTCAGATATTTGTTCAGAAAGTGTGAACAGCTGTCCAGCTCTTGACAATATCTGCTGTTGTGCTATGGTCGGCGAGCTGAGAAATACAGGGGCACCCCACCTCCATTATTTCCCTTGATTCTCCTGGTCCTTTATTTGGAAACACTGCTGCATCTCTATGAAAATCTCTACCAAGATCTTAGGTTGGTTAGAGAGATCTAGCTCATGGGCCAAAGAAATAGGGCCTTCAGGATTCTTGTACTCTAGCATGTCAAGCCATTTTACAGAAAACTTTTTCTATATGAACTGCAGAGTTTGATTTATACCAGTGTGGGTAACAACAGTTCTTGACATGGTTTTGGTCTACAGCAGCATTTCTCAACCTGGGGGTCGGGACCCTGGGGGGGTGTGTGTGTGAGAGAGAGGGTGTCAGAGGGGTCGCAAAAGACCATCAGAAAACAGAGTATGTTCTGTTGGTCATGGGGATTGTACGTGGGAAATTTGACCCAATTCTATTGTTGGTGGGGTTCAGAATGCTTTTTGATTGTAGGTGAATTATACATCTGAGTAACTGTAACTCCCAAATGTCAAGGTCTATTTTCCCCAAACTCCACTAGTGTTCACATTTGGGCATATTGCATATTTGTGCCAAGTTTGGTCCAGATCTATAATTGTTTGAGTCCATAGTGCTCTCTAGAAGTAGATGAAGTACAACTCCAAAACTCAAGGTCAATGCCCACCAAACCCTTCCAGTATTTTCTGTTGGTCGTGGGAGTTCTGTGTGCCAAGTTTGGTTCAATTCCATCATTGGTGGTGTTCAGAATGCTCTTTGATTGGAGGTGAACTCTAAATCCCTGCAACTACAACTCCCAAATGACAAAATCAAACCTCACCAAATCTGGGCATATTGGGTATTTGTGCCAAATTTGGTCCAGTGAATGGAAATACATCCTGCATATCAGATATTTACATTATGATTCATAACAGTAGCAAAATTACAGTTATGACGTAGCAACGAAAATAATTTTATGGTTGGGGGTCCCCACATCATGAGGAACTGTATTAAGGGGTCGCGACATTAGGAAGGTTGGGAACCACTGGTCTACAGCAACATCTGAAGGGTCCCAACTGTCTACCCCAATTCCCAAAACCTCTTGTAGGTAACATGTATGCCTTTCTACTGACCAAAGACATAATGAATGCCACCAATATTGTCTGCAGATGAGAGAAGCCAAAATCTAAACTTGTGCAGTTTAATTAAGCAAGGATGATCTGAGTATGGAGAAAGGCATCTTGCAATATACTAGGCAAGCAAAATGCTGCCTTTCAAAGGTGCCTGGACTACAGCTTCCATCAGTCTTAGCTAGCATAGCCAATATTGAGGGCTACTGACTTGTAGAATAATATCTGGAGAGCTGCATTAGTCCATATAAAGTGTTCAGGATGGAGATGTCTCACAAAGTAAATATGACCAAAAACCTGCAATTATACACTGATATATAATGAAATGATTTCTTTAAAAAACCTATGTTGTATGAATTATACTTAGGTACAATACTAGACTTTAAATCAACATTCATTTTTGTTCAATCAATGCTGCAAAATAATAACTTTTAGGAAGCATTTTTATTTGGCAGTGAATGTCTTTCAAAATAGAAAAAGTTTTCTGTTTCAGTTATTGGCTTTGTTATTTTTTTAATACGTGAGGGATATATAGATTGATTCATAATAAAAGAAGCAGCTGATTCAGATTTAAGAATGGTAATACTATCTTCCGATACGGTTGGCCATATTCCTTGGAAATATTACTTCAGCCTCTGAGGAGAGATCCTCGATGGAACAGTCAGAATATCAGCTTAGCTTTGGCAGTAACAAAATAAGGTCTAGCAACTTATGACGGACACGGCTGTAACATCTGACAGCTAGATTCATTGTTGGTTTAACAGCCAATCACCACTTTTGACGACACAAGCCAATGAAGGGTTGGGAATATAAAAAGCCCTCTTGGAATATACAAGATTCACCAGAGTGGTGACTTGTCTCAGGTTGCATTTGCCTTCAGTGATTCAGAGTACGGAAAGATTAGAAAAAGAACGAAAGAAGGGAGGGGGGAAAAAGAAGAAGGAACAGAAGTTCAGTGAATGTGGGACAATGCAAAAGTTTAGAAGTTATATTTATATTTATCTTCTCATGCTAATCATCCCTGGTCCAGTGGATCCAAATGAAAGTAACCAGGCAAATGAGAATATAGAAAAAGACGGACCATGCAATGCATGTACATGGAGGCAAAGTACAAAATCTTCAAGAATAGAAGCTATAAAAATTCAGATCCTCAGTAAACTGCGTCTGGAACAGGCACCAAACATTAGCCGGGATGCTATACGGCAACTTTTACCTCGAGCTCCGCCAGTACAAGAACTCATTGATCAATACGACGTCCAAAGAGATGACAGCAGTGACGGATCTTTGGAAGATGATGATTATCATGCAACAACTGAAACTATTATTACAATGCCAACTGAAGGTAAGTACTCTACGACGACATTTTGTACATCATGTTCTCTGCGTCTTTGTGTGAAAAGGCAAATAGCCTCTTTTAAGTGTTCTTTAAAATTGCTTTCAGTTGAGAAGGGGAAAATATTGTCATGTGTGTATACCTGAGTGTGCATGCACATGCATGCCTAGTTTTAATATACAATATAATGCATTATATGAGAAAAACTGCCATAAATATTCCCTTCTGGTTGTTATAGTAAAGGTAAAAGTTCCCCCTTGACATTAAGTCTAGTCATGTCCGACTCTGGGGTGGTGCGGATCTCCATTTCTAAGCCAAAGAGCCAGCGTTGTCCATAGACACCTCCAAGGTCATGTGGCCAGCATGACGCATGGAGCGCTGTCACCCGCAGAAGCGGTACCTGTTGATCTACTCACATTTGCATGTTTTCAAACTGCTAGGTTGGCAGAAGCTGGGCTAACAGCGGGAGCTCACCCCACTCCCTGGATTCAAACTGCCGACCATTCAGTCAGCAAGTTCAGCAGCTCAGTGGTTTAACCCACTGTGTCACCAGAGGCTCCTGGTTGTTACAGATATACTAATATGACAATTAATCAACCTCACTATTTCAGTACTTTATCAAACCATTTGCACAGAATTATGATAACAATACAAAAATAGTAATGTGCATGTTACACCAGCAATCTTTTAAAAGATGTCTATTTTTGGGGATTTTCTGAAAAGAAGGGGTAGAATATCATTGACAAGTGTTAAACATATATCTCCAGTGTACTCATTTTTAATACAGAGCCCCCGGTGGTGCAGTGGGTTAAACCCCTGTGCCGGCAGGACTGAAGACCAACAGGTCGGAGGTTTGAATCCGGGGAGAGCGCGGATGAGCTTCCTCTATCTGCTCCAGCTCCTCCATGTGGGGACATGAGATAAGCCTCCCACAAGGGTGGTAAAACATCAAACCATCTGGGCATCCCCTGGGCAAAGTCCTTGCAGATGGCTAATTCTCTCACACCAAAAGCGACATGCAGTTTTTCAAGTCACTCCTGACACAACAAAAAAATTAATACAAATAGATTTGAGCTATGAAGAGGGAACTGCCTGATCCCAATCCCCAGTTTTGCACATGTCAATGCTTTTCTCCCGATCCCTTGCTGCTTTGGCATCTTGTTTTTAATTCTAAGGAGGATTCTTGCTTCTCCTTCAACCCAGCTAATGCAACATAATATAATCTATGTGGTGACATCATAAAGCCACAAAGCCAATTAGATGTGGTCACACTTTGATATTAGTGAAAGCCACAAAGCCACAATGCTCTCACCCTGAAGCCACAATCCAGCTCTAGCTGTACACAAAGATACTTTGGAATGCATATTTGGGCATGAGTTGTATTCAGAGCAATTCAATCTGGAGAGAGACCGTCCTGGTTTTGCTCTGCTGTGCTGTGGCATTCGCTGCAGTGCAAATGTGGCAAATCAGGGAGTTTTGGTCCAGAATTCAGTCCACATACCACTCTCTTTGGAAAACTTATATGCTCTCCTAAGTAAATGTGAAGGTTTCACTTTGACATTAAGTTTAGTCAAATCCAATTCTGCTCATCTCCCTTTCTAAGCTGAAGAGCCAGCATTGTTTATAACCTCCTAGGTGATGTGGCCAGCATGCTCTCCTGCGCTTACACAAACTGCCCGACATAATTTTCACGACACTTGTACTCAGTTCAAATACCCATGGCTTGTCAGCAATGATTACAAATACAACATATATATTTTAAGTAACTAAATAATAAAACTGGCACTGATTACCATAAAAGCTCATTAACTGCCAGCCACACTCTATTTTTAGTATTAATAATGTTAATGCATGCTTGTCAATTCTATCAGTTGTGCTAGGAAGGCCTGAAGGTATTTACTGAATGAGCAGATTCTTAGTTATCTTCTTAGTGCTAAGCATCTGCCGTGGCCCGTATCAAGTATCTTTTCCACAGATAATATTATAGTATCTCATGTGCTTCATTATCTAAAGTATTTGGCTACGGCAGCTGTTTTCGGAATAACACTTGGAGTGATGATGAAATAATGTAAAATGAAAAGTCGTGACTTAGATTTGCTCTTGGCAGCAGTAGCATAAGCACTAAGTATAGTCAACAACAAAAGTCTTCTGGTGATACAGTCAGCTATAGCTGGCAGGGGGTTGGACTAGGTGCACCTCTCAACTTTGACAGTGATTTTTTAAAAAAAGGAAACACTTCTAGAGAATTTGAAATATAGTCCTAAGTATGCTCATCCCATTAAATTCAACACAACTTAATTCTAAGCTCTGAATGTAGAATTTAGATTTGAATATGCAGTTGACTTCAAATAGTATTATTTCAATGCATCACTATCTTTCCATTGGGCGCACTGATGTGAATGGTGTGTATCTTCCCTATTTACAGACACATATGAATTAATGTCTGTTAAGAGAGAAAGGGATGGAAGTAGAAATCCCTTGCTTACACTGCAATCTTTCCAAAAAGCTATTCACACAGGAGTACTATATGATCACATGTATGTTAGGAGCCCCTGGTGCCGCAGCGGGATAAACCACTGAGCTGCTGAACTTGCTGACTAAAAGGTTGGCAATTCGAATCTGGAGAGCTGGGTGAGCTCCTGCTGTTAGCCCTAGCTTCTGCCAACCTAGAAGTTGGATCAATAGGTACCGCTGTGGTGGGAAGGTAATGGCGCTCCTTGCAGTCATACTGGCCACATGTCCTTGGAGGTGTCTACGGACAACACGGCTGCCGGCTCTTCAGCTTAGAAATGGAGGAGAGCACCACCTACCAGATTCGGACATGACTAGACTTAATGTCAAGGGGAAACCTTTACCTTTTATGTTAGTATACATCAAAATGGAATACGATTGCATTACATTACAAATATGGAGAGTTTATAAGTATCTAACAGGTTATATAACTTCACTGTTTGCTAAAATTAGTTTTCCTGCATACGGCAATTTCTGCTGTCATAAACTAGGTCTTCACATGGCAAATTAGAAATCAATATATTGGACTATTGTGCTTACTTAGAGGGGATTGATGTCCCCCATTTGAAATCTATATGAATACGGACATTTATTCACAATAGAGACAAGTTGTACCTTTATATTGTGTATATAAGTAATAAACCTGTTGTACGATAACGCATCTGATGTTTCAAAAATACTTCATGTAAATTAGAAATCAAGACATTAAGATAAAGTTATTGACAAGTGTATTCCTACTCAAAGAAGCCACTGGATTCCTAATATACCTCATTCACAGCCCTATTTATGTGATCAAGTGAATATGTCCTGACATTGAAATAACAGAAGAAGTTAAATGTGTGGTTGCCCTTCTTTCTCTTCTTATAAATACATTTTAGGAGCTGGCCTAGTAAGACGTTGCATGTCACAATCTTTTTCAGGCTGAGGACATTTGTACAGTGTGTTCAATATCCCTGGTGATTTTGACTGGGGCAGGGGAGTTGATTTCAGAGAGTGATTTGTGCAGCTGGTGGCAGCTAGGATAACCGCACAGACTTCCAGAGATTCCCTAAGTGTATTCCTTTACTATGTGTATCCTATCCTTCTTTATAGCAATCATAATTATTTAATTTCAATTTGAAGTTTTCAGCAGAAGGGTCTAAAACAAGCCATCCACATGAAGCGCTAGATTACAACCTGGAAATACAGATGAAACCGTTAAAACGTTTTTAGTTTCTTTACAAGCCTCCAATTACCAGAGTATTCCTATTAGTTTCCATTAAATTTCAGGCTATGGGCTACAAGGCAATACTGAAGTCTGCAATGACTTTTAAAATGTGCTTTTTCTGTTCAGCCTCTTAACATCCATGTTTTGTCCTTCCTCCACTTTCCCTATCATTTGTTTTCATTTTGTTATGACTGTAATTTTTAAATTGTAAGATATTTAATAGACTTTTTGTATTGTATACATACTGTGAGCTGCTTTAGAGAATCTGGAGAAATACAGAAAGAAAGTAAAAGAATATTAGGTGGATGTAATGCCTGAATCTATTGCAGACATGCATCTTCAAATGTAAAAAGGTGCTATTCTAAAACATTACAGAAACAATACTATTTGTGACCAGTTAGTATAACGCAGTCTGCACCAAGATATGAGATATTCCTCTTGAGTATCTGGCAGCAATTTCTATATGTGTTTCTTATTATTATATGTGGCCCTTTTATGTCAAGCAGCATACTTATTTATATTTGGTAGTACAGCAGTCTGCAAAATCTTAGTTACACCCAAATTGTACACATGGAGACCAGTCATGACATCTGTCACACATACTATACCTAAATGGTAAACAAAGGAGGAATTGGATATTGAATTAAGTGACTTGAAGTAGAACATGTTGGGAGACTGAACAAATATGATATTGGAAAGTGATGTGCATTAGACCTGCAACCTCATCAGACAGGCTAAATTGCCTGTTGTACCCAGAGGCTGCCCTAGGTAATTTTCAACGGTAAGCAAACAGTATTTTGCCCCTCCCCCAACCAATCACTGATATATATTTTCTGTTCGTCGTGGGAGTTCTGTGTGCCATATTTGGTTCAATTCCATCATTGGTGGAGTTCAGAATGCTCTTTGATTGGAGGTGAACTATACATCCCAGTAACTACAACTCGCATATGTCAAGGACTATTTTCCCCCAAGAGCGCCTCAAGAGCGCCCCTGGGCAAAATCAACTATACTGCAAATGCTTACTTTGCGTGATGGGTTGAGCCGCCCCTGGTTGTACCCCAGTTCCTCTTCTCTTTTGCCATGGAATCTGGCAGCTCCCATCCTAAGACATATGTCTACTTCCGGCAGGGCTCTATGGCAAAGGTGAAGGGGAACCGGCGTATCCAACCACCGTGGGAACACGGGAGGCTTCCTGTGTTGCATTTGCAACAATGGGAGGGGGAGCTAGGTAGCGGATGCTTCCTCCTGTGGGATGGTGTAAGGGGGAAGCTGGGTGATGTGGGGCATGAGGCAACGGGATCCCCAGAGCTCCGTCCGGGCACTGCTACATTCACCACAATGCATGGTAGATCCCTATGTTAATGTAATAAGGTCCCTGGTCCCACAATTGTAAATGGTCATTTCATATTAAGTGATTTAGAAATCTCATTTGTTATGCTTTATTGTTCAAATGTTTCTGAATGTTTGCAAATGAGTAATATTTTCTCTCCATTCCTTTATAGCTGATTTTCCGGTGCCAGTGGAAGGAAAACCCAAATGTTGTTTTTTTAAATTTAGCTCTAAAATACAGTATAATAAGGTGGTGAAGGCCCAGTTGTGGATCTACTTAAGACCAGTCCAGAGGCCTACCACAGTATTTGTGCAGATCCTGAGACTCATCAGGCCCATGAAAGATGGTGCAACTTCAACTGCAATTCGATCTTTGAAACTTGACATGAACCCAGGCACTGGCCTTTGGCAGAGCATTGACGTGAAGTCCGTTATGCAAAATTGGCTCAAACAACCTGAATCCAATTTGGGCATTGAGATTAAAGCCCTGAATGAAAATGGAAGAGATATTGCAGTAACTTATCCAGGACCAGGGGAAGATGGATTGGTGAGTTCTACCTGGAAATCTACACACATCTTCTTTTAATTTAGTATTGGAAAATAATGTTTTATTTTAGATAAATAATCCCGAGGTTTTCTAAGGCTGTTGCCATGAACATTATTACTTAGCATTAAGCCTTCCAAAATTTAGTTCCAAATAAATGTCTTTAGTACTTTAGCAAACAAGTATCTGCAAATGAACAAAATTAGTAACTCTTTCATAGTTTAAATAAGAATTATACATACATTTACAGCCTTTTCCTATCTATAGCAGTGACAACACCTATATCTAATCCACGAAGAAGCCGAGATATCCAATTCGTTAACAGTTTGTTACCCTGAGAATTACTAAGCTCTTGTACTGCAAAAGTGTGTAGCTTTTCAGTCCAATAAATAAATTAATCAATATCTTATTTCTATAAAATTAAGATGGAATAGGGAATGGTTTCTTTCCTAATAATCTAAATAGATCTCATAAATAAATATTAACAAAAACCCTGGTGGATTATACCAATCTATCTACTTCATCATTCTGTTTGCAATTGTGAACAACCAGATGGCCATTAAAAGTCCACAGACAGAATACTGTAGTTTCCTCTAACCAGTCTCTCCACTGATCTAGAAAAACAAATACATGGCAGTTCCTCAAGTTACAGGAGAGTCTCGCTTATCCAACCTTTGCTCATCCAACGTTCTGTATTATCCAACACAGTCTGCATCCCTCCTGGATCCACAGCTGTTTCAATGCATTGCAATGTTTTGGTTCTAAATTAGTAAATGCAATAATTACTACATAACCTTACAGTGTATTGAGCTGCTTTTTCTGTCGAATTGTTGTAAAACATGATGTGTTGGTGCTTAATTTGTAAAATCATAACATAATTCGACATTTAATAGGCTTTTCCTTAATCCCTCCTTATTATCCAATATTTTTACTTATCTAACATTCTGTTAGCCCGTTTATGTTGGATTCGCGAGACTCTACTGTACCTTGTTACTAGAAATAATGTCAGATGAAGCAGCCGACATTATTTGTAATGCATGTTGTAAAAAGAATGTTGTGTCTCTTAATGAAACCACTGATACTCAGGGATTTGAGTTGACAGCTTGCTCTATCAGATAGACTTTGGTTTGCTATTTCAACATCATTCACATAGGGATTATCATCTTGTTTAACTAAGCCCCATATACTTTAAGAGAAATAAAACAAACATTTTTAAATGTGTTAATCAATTGTTTTAATTATTGTTTTAATATTTTTTTAATATTTTAATGTATTGTTTATTGTTTTATGATAATGACATCGTATGGTGCATTTGTGAGGCCGCCCTGAGTCCCCCCCTCGGGGGTGAGAAGGGCGGGGTATAAATATAGGAAATAAATAAATAAGTATTACAAAACAGTTAAACATGCTTCAAAAATATTTAATACCTATCACATTCACAATTTAAAAGCAACACAGTTGGCTTTTTGGAGGAAGAAATATTTGAAGTTATTTAACAAATAAATGCACAGACTTCTTCCTGCGTTGTAGGATGCTTTCAGGATGAAGCCAGGATGGAGACTGCTGGAGTCTATCTCATGATGCAGGGCTACTTCTGATGGGACTCCGTCCTGGAGGCATCCTAATGGAGCCCAGGGAACATGGGAGGCTTTCCTGTTTGCAGTACGTGCCACCGGGGGGTGGGGGGGGGGGGTGGGAGCCAGATGGTGACACTATCTCTTGTGTGATGCGAAAAGCAGCAATGTGAGGCGACGATTTCTCCCACTCCCCCACGGATTCATTATGCTGCCTGAGGAATTCCCCCACTGCTGCCTGCGTTTGGGACCTCAATGTGATGAGGTCTTTAGTGTCTTAAATGGCTGTGCAGCTATTCCATTTTTTTCCAAAATAAAATGTTCTTTAATGAAAAGAAATGTTGGAAAGCATGAGAAACATCTAGCTCAAATACTGGATAAAACTCTGTGACTGGAAGAGGGCAGTTCCACAGCAAAACTCTCATGTAGATGTACCCTGATTGTCCAGAGGTTTAAGATGTGTTATTTCTCAAAGCTTAACAAAAAGAAGTAGGAATTTTAAAGCCCCAAAGTCTCCCTGTCCTGGAAAAATTGTGACAGCACAAGATGTAATGTGTATATACAAATATAATGAACAGCAAAAAGAGATGGGGTACGAGATGAAGCTTGAACAGTACCTGACCTTATTCCTACATCCACTCACTCTGGCCAGGACCTGCTACCCAATAAATTCAAACCATGTTGGTAAGAAAATAATATATAAAATACTGTATACAAAATAATGTATAAATATTAACATTAATATGGCGTCTCTACTTCACAGATTTTCACTTATTGTGGGTAGTCCTGGAACGGAACCTCCAAGATAAGTGAGGGGACACTGTATTACCAAAAAGGTTTAATATCTATGACTGAAAAACAATAATAAAATACTGGATTGTGGTGATGTATGGCCATGTCCAGGAAGCATTCTCTCCTGATGTTTCACCCACATTTATGGCAGGCATCCCCAGAGGTTGTGAGGACCTCACAACCTCTGAGGATGCCTGCCATAGATGTGGGCAAAATGTCAAGACAGAATGCTTCTCAAACATCACCATACACCCCAGAAAACTCACAGCAACCCAGTAATTCTGGCCATGAAAGCCTTCGACAACACAATAATAAAATAAATCTCAGCTATTACTTCAGGCAGTTTTAGAAGTGGATGGGATTGTTTACATCATCATTATAATTATACATGGCATTTGAGGGGCATCCTTTGTGTTAAATGTTAATTAACCTATGAGAGTTATTCTTCAATTGTACGATCCTTTTCCCTTTATTCATAGAATCCATTTTTAGAGGTGAGAATTACAGACACACCGAAAAGATCTCGTAGAGATTTTGGTCTTGACTGTGATGAGCACTCAACAGAATCTCGATGTTGTCGGTACCCACTCACTGTGGATTTTGAAGCATTTGGATGGGACTGGATCATTGCACCCAAACGATACAAGGCAAACTACTGCTCCGGAGAATGTGAATTTGTGTTTCTACAAAAATATCCACACACTCATCTGGTCCATCAAGCAAATCCAAGAGGTTCGGCGGGCCCTTGCTGCACACCCACTAAGATGTCCCCCATAAATATGCTGTACTTCAATGGGAAAGAACAAATCATGTATGGAAAGATACCAGCCATGGTAGTAGATCGTTGTGGGTGCTCATGAGTCCTTCATTAGGTTTGCTACTTCATAAATACGGAATCTACAAAAAAGTTTCCTTGAGCAATTTCTGAAACTGTGAATTTTTGAACAATAGGCCTACCTCTATTAGGCTGCACTCTAGGCTATTGCAAAGATTTCTTACCAGGCAAACTACAGTATGTGGACTGAAGGACATTTTAATGCATGGCTGGTTTTTAACCAGTGAAAAGATAAGCTACAATCAAACTTACAGGATTTCACAATGAATTTCTCATTCTGGAAAGGGATCTCTTTTCATTTATGCAAACAACATAATCATATAAAAGGCATCAGAAATAGATAAGAGCAACCTTCTTATATTCCAGAGAATGAAAACGAGTAGAGTAGTGAACATAGTCTGAACAGTTTAATTTACTATTTCATTTACACTAGAGGATATACTGGTGATATATAGAGTGAAGAGAGTACCAATGAATTTCCTCAAACACTTGAATTGAGTTTAGAGTATGAAAACTGATAAGATGAAATTCCACAAAACAGACGTCCACAAATTAGATTAGATATGTTATGTTTCCATTCCTTTTATAATTAGCATGTTCATTACTTTCTACCAATGGTGCTATCACAATAAATTGAATAGCTCAAACCCAAGATTGGCTGTTGGAGCACAGAAATATAGGATATGATTTATTAACCATTAGATTACCAGACTGACCAGGTTTCAAAGGATAATTCCTACCAATGAAGCAACTCCATTGGGTAAAATGGGAGGAAACGCTCTTGCTCCATCCTGCAGCCCTTTGGTCAAGGATGGGCAACAAGCTGCCTCATCACACTAGAGAAGGAATCCACTTTCAATCTGGTTTCTGCCTCCTGCAGAATTCTGGGGTTTGTAGTTTAAGGAGGAGCCTTTAACAGCTTCACTAAACTACAAATGCCAGAATTCTGCAGGAGGCAAAAACCAGATTCTAAGTGGATTTTTCTCTCTAGTGTGATGAAGTGTTATGGAAGGCTATGGGGCCACAATAGCTTTTCAGTAGAATCTAAGACTATTGCATCTTCTAGACCTATCTCAACAGCTCCCCCCCTCCCCAAAAAAAGGCTTTCCCCTAAAAGCCTGCACCGAAACTGGAACAAAAGGAGATTAAAACATGAGGGAAATGCCCCATAAAACCAAAAGAGCACTGGGTGCAATTGGGAAGCACAAAAAAGTTCTGATGGCCTCATGTAATCCACTTCCTGCATTTTGCCCAATTCTGTCCTTTGTACTCTGAAAACCTGCTCCGTGGCTAGTCTGAAGCTTTGGACTGTCCTAGATTCTGGTGGAGTGTTTACACCTCTTCGTTCCTAACTGTGCCATCAGAATGGTTGGTCACTCTAACCCTTTGCCTCCTTTGTCACTGTAGTGGTGGCCGAAGACCTCTGGAGAGCTCCTGGCTATCACCAAGCACCCTTGCCAGTATTAGCAAACATGCCTATAAATCTTGGAGAGAAGAAGAAGTAAAGAAAAGGTGATCCCGTTCCCCTTCCCATGTCATGTGAGCACCTTTGCTGACTATGGATTGGGATTTTTCCTTGTCCTAGGACACTGTGGAGGCGGAGTCAGGACGGAGCCCAACAGAGCTCATCATGTGATGCAGGGCTACTTTTGGTGGTGACCCGTCCCATCTCCATCTCTGTCTCCGCAGTGTGCTCTGAGGAAGCTCTGAGGATAAGGATGACTCCCCGTATCCTCATTTAATAAGCTGGGGACAGCATGGAAGGAACCCGGGGGCAGCCAGGAAACACCATGGGATGGTGAGGGTATGAAGCTGGATGCTGCCCCATGGTTTCCCCCACTGTCCCCTGGCTTCTGGACTTCCATCAGATGAGGTCCATTGACAAAGGCATCCAGTGATGGCCAGGTGTTTTTCAGAGTTCTGTTGCCACCACCACAGTGACAAAGGATGCAAAAAGCTAAGTGTCATCTTAGCCAAGGAGAACGAGGAAAATGGGATGGCAGCATGGACCTATGTGAACAGTGGGACTGGTTCCAAACCAGAGCTGGCACAGTTGTTTATCTCCCTACCCTGCTGATTTATGTGGCTGCTTTGGAGCTTGTGGAGGGTCCTGAGCATTCCTCACCTTCTGCTGACATAGGATACAATGGAGTTATCCAGTTGTACCCTGTGTTGGAGTCCAGAAGTCTTTGGACATCATCTGGATGCCTAGAGGCAACTTCTGGAACAATTCAGGTTTTGTCGCCCAAGCAGATAGGCTCTAAGAAACACAATGGAACAAGTGTATCTGAGGGTTTAGGAGAAGAAGGTTTGGGTGTTAGTGGTAGCACAATGTTGGATTTAGGGCCTTATAACAAAACTTTATATTGTAGTGGAACTGCAGAAAGCCATAGGATTAGAGTGACATTTTTATAATATAAAGCACAAAAATTGATGTCTTTTTCCTCAAGTATAGTTTATTAATCATTCAAAAGGAATGGGATTTTAAAAATTAATGATGTTTTTTGTGCTTTAGCATACATCGATATTACAGGGAATGATGAAAGGATTTTTTAAAAAATAAAAAATTATAGCCCACATTACAAAATTACAGTTTGCACTATGATGAACCAATGGACAGAATTAATAAGTACAGTATTGTAAAAAATAAATCATTGATATATTACTAACTTTGTATAATATATATATATACACACACACACAAACACATGCATACACACTATTATAATGTAAATAAATGTTTGTTTTTTATTTACTATTAATATATCATGAATATATGGTGCAACATCTTTTGGGTTAACTTGCTCTATCACGTATGATTACACTTCTAATAATAAGACACATCAAGGTTTTCTTCTTGTGTACCAAGTGCACTCTGTTCTAGGACTGTTCCCACATTTCTGAGAGCAGTGTGTACACATGATGTTCTCCTCACCACTTAACTGCTCCACTAACCTTTTGTACACTTATTGTTTGCATGGGTTCTGCTTCTTGACTTGTAATGAATGACAAACGCTTCATGTAATCATTCTATGTGCATATGGATTAGTGGACCAGAGCAATTTTGGATACCATTACTGCTATGTAAAGCATAGAACACGTATATACATTTTCGTTCTCTCCTTTTTTTTTAAATTACTCAGTTGCACAAGGAGATAAACAGGGGACATTACTGGTTGGACACAAAGGGAAGGGCTGTTATATATTTTGTTTTAAGACATTACACAAGAAAAATGAAACTTAATTCCGAGATATGCAAGAGAAGTATGAAAATGCCTATAGTATGTACCACCTATAGCAGTGTGCGGAGCTGTAAGTTCTTGCACAAGCATTTTCAGAACGATACAAGTGACGTTTTTTCACTAGTCACAGCTTTTTGGTTCCAGCCTGATGAATAATCAGTTTCATATTGATTCAGCTAAAATGTAATTTGCCATACTTTAGTAATATATCAATATATTGTTGACAACACAAACACGAACGTGTTCATTAACTCTATTTTTCTTAAGAGCTAATACTTTACAAAATATTTTATAATTTTTATATTATAAGTATGCAATAAACTTTAATTTTTCTCATATTACTGTATATTTTGCTCAGCATAATCTGTAATTTTTTAAATCAAAACCAAAATTTAGAAATCTACCTATTTCCTATTAAGGGACTTTTTTTTCCAAATGTGAAAGAATATTGAAAATACAGGCGTTGTACAATAACCACTATAATTTCTGTTAAAATATTTTCATTTTTGTACAATTTCAAAACTGTATTGTTGTGTTCTGGATTTCACCTTATCATTTTATTTATGTGAAATTACAGCAGAGTATGCGTCTCTTCATTTTCTTCCTTTGCCAACTTGAGGTCTTCAAATTTTGCTGAGCTTAAGGCGATTTTGCTGAGCTTAAGGCGACGTTCCACTCATAGTTCTGCAAATGGCGCTTTGGATCTTCGCCATAAAAATCAATGGGACTTAGAGTATACCTAAATGAACTTCAGCCACAATGGTGGAGAACAGCAAACATATTTTCATACAGACTTAGATCGGGACACATGTATATTTGACATGCTTCTCTTACTAGCATATCCAGTGCATGTAAGGCCAGGCATGGGCAAACTAAGGCCCTGGGTGCTTACCTCAGGCCCTCCTCATTTTCTCTGTGCTGTCAGCATAAGGACACTATAGCCAACTGCATCCTTATGCAGAAAGGATGGGGTAGGAAGGCACGCAGAAGCTGAGAGCCCTCTGGAGTGCTCTAAGCCACCACGTCTCGCCCTCCTACTGGCATAAGGACGGTGCAAGCAGACCCATCTTTATGCCGAAAAGATGGCCCAAGAAAGGCATGCAGTGGCTGAGAGCCCTCTGGAGTTCTCTCATCCACTGCATGTCTCGCCCTCCTGCTGGCATATGGACAGTGCAAGCAGGCTCATCCTTAGGCCAAAAGGATGGCCTGAGGAAGGCACGCAGCGGCTGAGAACCCTCCAGAGAAATCTTGGCCATCGCCTGTCTCATCCCCCTCCTGGCATAATGCCGAGAGGACAACCCGAAGATCGGGGGAGGAGAACTGGGGAGGAGGATAGGGCAGTCACCACATGTCTCGTTTTCCTCCCGGCATAAGAATGGGGTGCCATTCTTTATGCCAGGTTGACCTGGGCCCTGGCCCGCACCCTCCTGCCCCCACAGGCCCTCTCCCTCCCCCATACAGCATGTGCCCGACCACCCTCTCTCTCGGCTTGGCCTTCTCAGTAGTACCCACAATGCAGCCCAAAGGCAAAAAAGTTAGCCCATGCCTGGTATAGGCCATTGCTTTGAAAAGTACACAAAAGCAAGATTTTACAAATTTCTCCTAACACTTGTCCTGCTACTAATATGGCAAAAAATAACTTCTAGTTGTCAAAAGCTCATATCATATATACTGCATTATTCAGTTCCTATGTTCAAGAAACGTTTTTCTTGAAAGAGCCATAGTATTTCACATGTCCTTATGCCACATGGATGCCAACCTAATTCTACTTTGATGCCAAGTTTTATTTAGTAGACTTCCATGCACATTAAGAGCCCTAGTATTTCATGGATTCAGGCCAATACAACTTGAGCAGGGATATAAAGCAGAGTATCGATTTCAGGACAGCTTGCCATCATTTGTAAGGATGAGGTAGGAATGATTCTGCATGTTTCGTACATTGTGCTCAGAATTATACTCATAATGTTTTTTTTTAGTCACAACAGAAGTAGCAATGAAACAACACACCAGAACATTTGCCAGCTCTAGTAAAGAAGTAGTGA